GTTTTTAGTGCATGAATCTGAATTGAACAACCTGATAATGCTCACTCTGGTTATTGTTATCTGGTTGCTCACTACGTGCTCTTGCGCGCCGAATCCAATCAATTAAAAATGAAAACTGTTGCCAGCGCGAGAAAAGAAATATCATCGGTTTTATTGATACATACATACATACGTACGTATTAGCGTTTTATATAATATAGATAGAAGATTAAATACAACTGAAGAAGTAAAATATCGTATTACTATTAGCATCAAAACTTCTTTACCACTTTTTCATTTTCTTCTTAATTCTTTTAAGTCTCGCTATCCGCGATGGCTCAGTGGTTAAAGGCATTGGACTGACACAGGGAAGAACCAGGGTTCAAAGCTCAGTGGCGACTTGATGCCCGCTCAGCCTCAGATCGATGGGGACCAGCTTGTGTGCAAAGTAAATACGGCTTGATATTAATGCTGACCAAATTCTCTCAATTATTTTGATCTCGAATTTTTGGCGAATGTTGATATTTTGTTTTATATTATGGACGTTGTCCATTCATTCATTAGAGTTTTATATTTTAGTATCGCTGTATTTGTTATGTATAATACGCTTATTTTTCCGGCTGATCCTATATTTGCTACAATGTTGAATTGCGGGGTTTTCGTAATTAAAGGCTTAAATATATTTTTACGGACTTCGCTTCGAATTTCTGCATCCGGAGTTTATTCGTATATTCACTCTTTTTTTCAGTGCATTAAATATATGTTTTCCAAAAGAAGCATTTATGTTATATGAAAATAATTGTTTGAGAAATAAAATACATTAGTAGAACATGAGTGTTAAATATAATTTAAACTAACTTCTTACGTAAGAAAAAATTATTGTGGCTTTAATTATAGTTCACCACTAAGAAAAAGCAGCATGTCTTTATTATAACTTTAAACTTATGTTTACGATATATTAGCATGTTAAAGTATAGGTATAATAAAATAACTAGGAAAGGAACTGAATAGAATACAGGAAAATAAATTAAATTTAAGAAGAATCGATTAAAAGCCGAGATCATTAAGTTTATATGTGCACTTAAAGATTACCAAAATAACTGAAAAGTAAAATTTATTAAACAATTTTAAAAACTTTAAAAGGAATAATTAACATTTGAAAACATTCGACATAATTTTATATGTTTCAGATAAATTCTATTTTTGACATGTTATATTAAATTAATATTTTGTTGACTTCAGTATTCTTTCATTGCGCGTTTTTTAAAACGCGTTAAACCATAATATGGTTTAAATTTGAGGAAAATTTACCAAATACCGAATTCGGATAGACTATCATGCTTCTTGAGCTTCGTAATAAGGTGCTATGGTTCAACTCAAATCTCAAATAAGGTTAAATTTAACACGTTATTAAATATGTACCAACTTTGATCGACATTGAAGTTCAAAATATTGAAATTATGGTTAAAACTTGAATCGGGTTTTTGGTAAAAAGTACCTTCGATAGTTTTTAAACTTTTCGAAATATTTTATTTAAAAATATCTCGTTTTGAATGTAAACTCCTTAATAGACATTTTGAAAGTATGGAAAAAAAACTGGCTGTATTTAGACGTTATTGTCGGTCACATAATTATTTTAATAAGGCCGTTGCTTACTAATGGCTCCATACAGAAAAAAACATTGTATTTTTATTTATTTTCAATTAATATGCGAAAAGCTTTCGAAATTTCCCGAAATAAGTCATTTCAGCAGTTAAAGATATCATCAAATTTTATTTATAGCAATTTTCAATCAGCAATACTCAGCAGCAAAAATTTCAAATAGGAAATTATACTTAATTTCTTTTATTCAAAAAAGAAAAAGCCATTCTGAGAATGGTTTTCTCAAATTATTATGTTTTTTTTCTTCATACAGCTCTGCGTGTGACCTGCATATTTAAAATTTAAAAAATATACGCCTGAATTCTTTTGAATTTCTTAAATGCATACAGTATTTGTATACATAATTTTTACAAATACAATAATCGTGGGATATATTTTAAGAATTAATAAAATAGTTCTTTGTAAAATTAAAAACATAATTTTTTGAAAATGCTTACAAAATTATGTTTTAATTTTACTGTATGAAATTTTATTATAACAGTTTAAATTATGTACTAAATTAAAACTGTTTTTGAATAAATATATTCTCGATACTTTTTTTAAAATGTTTTTTATTATATTTCTTTATTTGAATTCTTGAATTTTTTGACGTTTGAAATTAATCGAATGTAACGAAGATTTCAAAAATATGGACTCAATTATTTAGTCAAGAGAGCTTTAAGCTTGAATAATTTAATATCAAAATCACTTTTTTGTGTATTTCACCATATAACTAGATAACTAGAAAGTTTATAGTGAATCCAAACGTTCGCGCACAATTATAAAGTTTGTCAATTTTTATGAATTGTAAAACAATCCAGACAAAATTTTATGTAAAAACTATTTTTCAATCCGTTATTTTTTTTAAATACTTTACTAATGATAGAACAATTTTGAATTGTAAAGGAACTGATCGAACAGTTTTTTCAAGATTAAAAATTTAAAAATTCGACCTCTCCGAGTTGGCTAGATGTAAAAGAGTGAGAATGAATTAGAAATGAGGGGTCCAAATTTTCAACTGCTCTTCTGATAAACTATTAAAACCATATATTCTAGATTGCAGCTAGCCCCCATATGTATACATATATTTCGACGAAAAAAAAACGTGTTCATTCATAAAAAATGCGTTTCTGTATCGGATCAAACTGCAAATATCGTAAGCACAAATATATTTGACCTATTTATGGTCAGTCTTTTGAATCATTCTATCACAGTACGTTACAATACTATCTTCTAATAGTAATTAAGCCGCTCTCTTTCAAATTTTGTTACATATAGTTTTTAAAGTTAAAACACTAGTTTTGTTAACAAAATAGCTTTCAAACCTGCAACATTACCTGTAGTTAAATGTGACAAAAGAACGAAACTACTTTTTATTTGGAGTTCTTCTTCAAAAACAAAAACAAAAAGTATTATTTCGAAAAATAATTTAATAATTTTTTTTCTCGCTTTAAAAAATATCAACAGCATTCTTTAGAACATTCATAAAATTCTTAAATAGTACAATTTAGGTAAAGTAGCTTACCTTAACCAAGTTCTTGAATCCAAAGTTCCTCATAACCATGACTGTTCCCCAAGTTTTAGCTCTTGTACTGACAGAGAGATAAGAATAATATTTCCAGCATTATGGCTTTAATATTTCTTTGCTGACCCCATGGACGTCATACGCTTCGATGGGCAAAGTCACAGTAAAGGGTGAACGACAAAATCTTTTCGTGGAAGATTCAAAACCGTACCATTCTCCACCCCCCGTTGGTTCGAATCTTTCTCTCACGCGATTCATTCGACAAGGTCAATGTCTTAGAAGTTTACCGGATACGCTCTGCTTTTTGTTTCGTTTCTGGAGATAAATATTTACAAAGTTTTCATTTGATTTGAATAGAAATAGTGGTCAATCGCGTAAACCTTTTCAAGCCTTAAAAACAAATGGCGATGTTCTGTACGAAGAGGCTCTACGGCTGAGCTGTTTTTGATTGAAGCAATAAAACCGTATAAAACTCAAGCATTTATAGGAATATATAATTTATACAGATTTAGAAATACTAGCTTTAGCGAACCTTTCTGCTCATAGTGAAAAATTTTGAGACTCATTGATTCGTAATATCGCTTAAATTTGCTGCAGCTGGTGCTTGGTTGAATCATATTATTTTGCTTGTTAAACTGGATTACGTGATATTGAAGTTCAACTTGAATCGAAGCAAGGTTTTATTTAGAATTTTATTAAGGTTGTGACAAACTTTTCCCCTTCACAAGACACTGATATAATGGTTCTCGGTTGAAATTTTTTTCACTGTTTTTCTCTTCATTTCCCCTTTAAAAAGCTTTATTATTAAGTTTAAAAGATGCCTTATTTTATCCTTAAATAAATTTTATTTAATTTTTTTATTAGCATATGAATTTCTCAACTAATTCGATAGCTTTTTGCTCATTTCATATTATGCAAATAAATTGTAGCTTAACAATTTATGTTAAGTGAAATAATTACAAATATATTTCTTTATTAAAAAAGAAACAAAAGCTACTACTGCCATAGTCGATGTTTCTAAAAAATTAAATCGAACGTGCTTCTCTCTGTTATAATTTAGAAAGTATTGGATAAAACAATATCGCATTTCGCGCAATTCCGGGGAAATATTTAAAAAACACTCTGTTATTAAAATGTTATTGATGCGGTTATTACTTTTAAGGTTTAATTACGTCAAATCTGAAGATCTCCTTTTTTTTGCGCCACTTAGTTTAACGAAAACTATTACACAGGGAATCCCGTTTTTTTTTTCAGGAATGTACTTTTAAGCCATTGAATGAGTTTTACTTCTCACTTTATTTAAATTTCAATTTAGTTTTGAAGTAGTTGAATAGTTTAGATTGACTTTTTTTCGATGTAAAAGAAAACTACCTATTACTATAGGTAGTTTTCTTAAAGTATACTAATTTGCAGACGCGTACTCTTGCAAATAAAAATACAAAATTTTATGAGCATTTTTTGAATTTCGACTTGGTTTCGGAGTTATTAAATTTTAAAACAATCCTGAATAGTTCACAAAAATACATATTTTTTCTCTGATTTGCACAAAACCGAAGCCCAATTCTCTCCTTTCATTAAATTTCCTTTTAGATTATTTTAGTTTGAGAAATCGATGTTAATATTTATTTAAATTAATATTTACTTAAATTAATATTAAGAGTTTTTCAATATATTTTCTAGCTTTCTTTCCCCCTTCTCGCAAAAATGTCGTCACTTGTGGGTGACGTCAAATTCTTTTTTTATATTTTTTATTTATTTGCAAAGAGGTTACTTTTTAAATTGAACCACCAGTTAATTTTTTAAATTAAATCTTTGTTAACCTTAATCCCGGAGGCTAGCTGCATTACTCACGTTACAGATACCCATTCATAGGGTTGGCCACATTCACACACATAACACAGCAGAGGACAACACAGAGAGAAGCATCCATTCCCTGAGTTGTATTAGAAATCGCAACTATTGGCATTTCCGCCACGCAAGCTAACTACTCGGCCACCTGGCTGGGTAAATTAAATCTCTGAGGTTTAAATTTTTAAACTCATATAGGTTATTTGAAGTTTGAATTTGATAATTTTAGAATACTGGTTAAAAATGAAAAAAAAACATTAATCATTTTTAAAATTTTAAATTTTTATCTTGATTTAGTTTTTCTATTTGTCTTTTCCACGTAGTTATGAATTTTATTTTATTTGAGTGTGCATTTATAAAATTAAAACATTAAAAAAATGAAAAAGAAATCGGAATAACATCCTTTTTAGGTGCATATCCATTTTCGATTTCTTAACGTATGAATGTAATTATAGTTTTAGTAATTAATCATTTTAGTAATTATCATTTGTATGTTATTACAGTTCTAGAACAGAAGGATAAAAGCGATCTAAAAAAACTGTTAATGCAGTTATGTGGGCTGGCAAACGATAAGAAACAGGAGGTGAACCTATAATATAATTTAGATACGAGAGCATTTAATTTTGACTTATTTTATGTTAAAGCTGATTAATTTAATTTAGCGAAAACTATTAGCAATAGAACTAAATTTTTTTCTCTTACGTCTGTAGATGAATAATACGTTTTACATTGTTTAAATTTTCAATTAGTTATAGAGAAAATACATTGCTAAGTCTTAATTTTTAGAAACAAATATTAATCTACTCAAATATCTAAATTTTTCACAATTTTATCGGTAGTTTATCTCTGATTGCGAATTGATTTGAAAAAAAAAAAAGCTGCGAGGTTTGACGAGCGATAGCGAGAGAGGGGCGTTGTCTCTAATATAATCAACATGAAGTTTATGAAATATTAAAGTATAAAACCTAGGGTTCTAAACAAGACTAAAGCGGAAACAGCGAGCGATGCGATCTGAAAAGAACTTCCTCAGTTTCGAGGGTTGGTGATCGCGAGCAGTTTGGGGAGCCTGCTTTAATTCTGAAATATATTTATTTTCGTTTCAAAGCTGAAGATTATTAATATTTTTTAATGAACTCAACGAAAATTTTCCCTTCTTTTGTGGATAAACTTAGGTTGAGATTCAATTCTTTAAAGAATGCATTTATTCTAATGTTAATAGAAATTATAATTTTACTTTAAACAAAAAGTTTTTAATAGAGGTTTTTTTTCTGAAGATGAATTTTTTTTTAGGTAAGTGCTAAAAAGTTAAATTTTATTCAACGGTTTAAATTTCTTTTCAATTTGGACAACTTTTTGCAAACTAAGCAATTAATCATCATCATGATTCATTAGATTATTTTATGAAGCGAAATAAATACAATATTTTATTTCAAATAGTTAGCGTCTACATTTTTAAAATATTTAGAATATTAAGATATGGCGCAGAAAATAATTTATAAAAATCTAAACAAAGCACAAATGTTATCCCTGTAGGAAACGCTACTTATCGGGAAAGTTTAGCGTTTTCTTTGAAATAATTCAAACAAAAACCTCAATTGAGTTCCAGTTTCTATCGTCTCATTGTTCGAAAAAGCATAGCAGTTTCCTTGATTTAACAATCTGAGAAATGCATTAACACAGGTCTTAAAGAAATTAAATCTATTTATTCAAGTAGAATTCTTGAAATAAAAATTATGAGATGCACTTGAAACTTTTATGAGTTTATTATAATTATTATAAGTAAAATGATGTGAATTTCTAGTCTTAAGAAGGTGAAAATAATTGTAATAAGTATTGTGTCTTATTATTGAAGCAGAAAAATATTTATTCCGAACTTTATTAATCTTTTTAAAAAGAAGTTACATATTCGTGATTATCAATGAATAAGTACTTCAAGATGTATAACGGTTAAGTGGTTTTTTGTAAAAATAATTATTGATGATAAGCTGAAATCGCTTCACTTTTTTAAAAACCACGTTGTTAGCACTTAACGGATCAATGATACATTGAATTATCTCTTCACTCTTAAAAAAATATTCAACGCAATAAATATTAAAAAAATGAAGAACTTTTGCGATGTAAAATGTAATAATCCCATTTAATATTGTAAGAAGTTTAAAGATTAAATACTAACAAAGTCAAATTTTAATCTACTCATTAAAAAATAATTAATTTATTAAATGTGATCTTCACTGCAAGTTTTTTTTAAAATTAAAAATGAATAACGATTTTGCTTAATTATACACGAATGGAACTGGTTCTTCAATTTTTATTCCAATACTAAAAGAAGTCTTATTCCTTAATTCAATTATCATATCTTTTTAGCATATTTAAAGAGAGTACTGTATTTAAAACTATCGCTATTAATTTGTACTTATTGAATACGTTTTAGAATCAAAATTCAAAACTGAAAGTAATAGTTTATTTTTTATTATTTACAAAGATATGAGATAAAATAAAGAGCTGTTAAAATATTATTGAATACCCAATTTAAACTTTAAAAATATTTATTTTTAATTTTTATCTACTACTCATGTTTTATCAAGTATTTAAAAGTTCGCGTTTTGTCAAAAATTGCATCGTTTTATGACGAAATAATTGTGAAAAAGAGTAAAACACAATTCAAGAATTGCTGAATCATTAAAAGTGAGAATTAAATTTCTGTAAGCATTTAAAAGGTAATTCATACTTTTATTATTTAGATATACTTTTTATTATAAAACATGATTTTACTCTTTTATTATTATTTAATAATGTTAATACTGTAAAAATAAATACCACCGATTACTTTATTTCTAGATACGAATTACTGAAATAAATGTACCATTTATTTTCATGCCATTCATCATTCATTTTTACTAAGAATTTCATACATCCCCAGTTTTCGAAGAATATGGAAAAAGATTTGACCTCGCATTAGAATTTATATTCAAAACGGAAATTGATCCTTTTAAGATGAGTTTTCTGAAATATATGGGGAAGCGGAAACAATTGGACTTTTAATATCGTCTTTATACGCCCGCATAAGAGAGGGGTTAAAGGTAGGAGAAGTTTAGTAAATATGTTGAAAGCAGGAGAAAAATTTCAATTATTTGATTCTTTGAAGTATATGACCAAAAAAAGAATAGAGAACAGTTTCAGATTCTCATGACAAATTTCATTTTGAGTTCAGTTGTAAATAGTGATATCGTTTGCGAGTGTCTAACATATATTTTACGGCTATGTGTTCATCTTATGTATAGTCTCAAAAGAA